GGTGGGCGCCGGGGCGAACTGGTGAAGGTACGAATAGTAAGAGTGATGTCAATGCTGACAAAGCCGTTGGTGCATCAATAACGAAATAAGCGGGTTCCGAGCCTAACCAGCGTTGTATTATGCTTATGAAATTTGATTGTACCGTTTCTATTTTACCCTCTTTTAAAATTCTATTTAGAATTGGAATAACATCCCACATTTTTTGATGTCGTGTATCTTTAATCGCCGCAATTATGATACTCAAGTTTATGGCCGGTTTCTTTAAGCTTGAATACTGTATGGCATTTTGGGTGGAGAAAAACTTACTGTCAACGACTGACCAAGCAAGTAGTTGGAAAAGGTGTCTCCCAAGTTGGGACTCTTCTTCAAGATGATTATTCATTAATTGTCTTAATCTTTCACAGTATTCTTTTAAAGCGGGAAAACCCTTTGTGTTTATAGAAACATATTGGATATCATTATCATTTACATGTTCATAGGTTCTTTTACGAATCCTGGGGTAAGTTGCTTGTTTCTTCTAAAGAAATAATTGAAAAACGATTATTCATAATTTTAAAAAATTTAATCAAGGAATTATTAGTTGAATCGACTCCCCAAAGTGCAAATCAATGGCACAACCGCAACATAAATGACCAATGCCGTAACTAGTCTTTTTATTTTGAAGCCATTAATCAGTATAAGTTTCATTAATAGGTTTGAATTTAAATTTGATATCGATTATCGTTCGTATAACACGGTAAATTATTAGCTTCGATTGTGACTGCGCCACCAATCTGCACTTTTGGAGGCCGCCCCGGTCGATTTTTATTAGTTACCTCTTGAGGTAAATTAAGGGTATTATCATCATATTCACTATCGCTATTCTGTTCGGAATCGCTTCCACTATATAACCTATTCCCATGTTGATCTGCACAAAATACTTATGATTAATTAGGTATAACCCAATTTCGCCGACAAATTTTGGCCCGATTTAGTTAGAGTTGGCTAGAGATTGTCGGCGAATTCCACCAGAACCGATTAATTAAGGATGTGTCTTTAGTAGGGTTGTAAAATTACCGTAATTTTCTGTAATTTACGTAATTTTGTGTAGGTTTTGGTAAAACGGTTTCCACGTAATTAGTAAAAAGATTGTAAAAACTCTAGTCTTTGGTCTTTGATGCAATTAAGAAATTATTACCGTTACCAATTAGGTCATTATCTAACTGAGCATGAAATTTGATGTGAACTTCCCGTTTCTTCTGCTTTACTTTTTTCTATTATAGTACATATATGAGAAAAACTGATTTGTATAATTCTTCTCGAGGTTATGCGAGTTGAACAAAAACAAACAACAAAGTACATTTGCTTTAATGTTTTCTTTCCAATCTTCGTAACGTCTCCAGTCATCTCTATAAGCACCTGAATCCATATTTTCTTTTAAAGATAATAATTTCTTCGAACTAGGGTCACTCTGAATCGCCTGCTTCAATCGTTCTTTATAATCTTGGTGGGCAGATTTCTTGTTGCGGAATCCAAACTTTGTAAAAAATTTTAATGGAGTAGGGTCTGGATAATTAAGTAGGAACTTGACCTTCTCTTCCAAATTTTTATTCATTGCCAAGCAAAATCTTTAAATATAATTACTGTCCAAAAAAAAAAAAAAACAAACTACTCGCGTACCATATAGGATAACTTTCTCGTGATTGGTCGTCACATGAAATTGAATAACCCGTTATTATTGGCCAATTGTGAAACATGTGACAATCAACCAATTAAATTACATCATATTCGTAAACTTAATTATTCT